AACCACTCTTTCCCTTTTTTGGAATCACTGAATGAGGTCCATAACAAACTTCTTCCTAGTGAATTTCATGGATACTCACCACCATTGGAACTTGGTTCAATGTTCCTCTCAAATTTAACTTTGTATTTCTGTGATCTTTCAGATTATGGAAACAAACAGATGTGAGGAATCTCAGAGTCATGTGCACAGGTTGTGTTTCCAGGGCCCAAATACATTCAGTGAACCTTGGCATCTATCACATTGTCCTCCGGAACAAGTAAAAGATATTGTGTATGCCTCTCTTTTCCTAAAATATAGCTGATCCTCATTTAGTGTCAAATGTATTCAGTATTTTAGTTATGCACACCCTGCTAGATGCTTTTTGTTCATGTTATGCATTAAAATTGACCTTTTAAGTTTTAACTATTAAGTATATTTCTCAATATTGCAGATATGAAGATGCCTTCAATAGATTTGTGGATGACATTAATAGTTTAGCTACTTATCACTGGTGGGAAGGGTCTATATACAGTATCCTTTGCATCATTGCATATCCCCTTGCTTGGTCATGGCTTCAAAGGTGTCGGAGAAAGAAATTACAGAAACTTCGAGACTTTGTTCGATCAGAGTATGACCATTCATGCTTGCGTTCTTGCCGTTCACGAGCACTTTATGAAGGGCTGAAGGTACTTCAGATTTAATTTTATGAATTTGTTCCCTACTCTTGGCATACTAAATTTACATCTCTAGCTCATTCTATAATTTAAAATATCTATATCTATGCCTTTTATCGATGCCTATTATAATACATGGAGTATAATTGTTTTTTGTCTTTACTTTTTAGTAGACTATTATACCCCTGCTAAGGGAAAAAAAAAAAAAAAGAAACAACCTCGTGTTCTGTAAATAACCACCCACAACCACCTGTTAAATTATCTTTAAATTTTTTAATTTTTTAAAAATTTAAGAGGCATGAAGTGCCTATTTTCCTACTAGTTATAATAAGCTAGCTAAATATGGTTTCCTTGATACCTCAGTGAACTGGATTGGAATATAGGATAGAAGTGCAGAGTTTATGGACAGAAACCCCTAGTCCCTGGATCTGTATCAATGAAATACAAGATCAGAGATGAGGAGAATGTGGACATGTGATAGTACAGAACTCCTCTAGCCTTCTAGGTGTTCAAGAGACCACAGCTTTTCCTCCTAAATTCTACTCCAAAACCAAAACACTCCTTACTATCATTTTCTTTCTCTAACCGACTAATGGTTCCAAGTTCCAACTAACTATAGGGGATACTTGTTTGGGGAGAGAAGGGGGGGGGGGGGGAGGATCTAATACCTGTTTTCTCTGATGGACCTTTTCTTTTGGTTGGTTTAAACATGTAACATTTTGTTTCTCCTGTTGTTTTTGTTTTATTCTTTCACCCTGCCAAATATATGGATTATCATTAGAATTGTTCAATGGTTAGTTACTCTATCGTGTTACAGGTAGCTGCAACATCTGATCTGATGCTGGCATATCTGGACTTCTTTCTTGGTGGGGATGAAAAAAGACCTGATCTGCCTCCTCGTCTTTATCAAAGATTTCCCATGTCTATAATATTTGGGGGAGATGGAAGTTACACGAGTCCTTTTTCTCTCCACAGTGATAATATTCTTACTAGCATCATGAGTCAGGTTTTTGCTTAACTCTGATACATAGCCTTTTTGTCAAATTCTGGATGTTTATTTTGTTGGCTGATTACTATGTTTGTCTGCTCTCTAGTCTGTTCCACCAACTATATGGTATCGATTAGTGGCTGGTCTCAATGCTCAACTACGCTTGGTTCGCCGTGGACATCTAAAAATAACTTTTGGCCCTGTTATCAGCTGGCTTGATGTATATGCAAACCCAAAGTTGGCTACATATGGGGTACGTGTTGATCTTGCATGGTTTCAGCCTACAGCTTCTGGATATTGCCAATTTGGACTTGTGGTATATGCTACTGAGAATGAAAGCATGTCCTCATCATGTGAAGGTTATGATGATTCAGGAATAACTGAAAAGCAGACATGGTAATGTTAACTTATTATTTATTTTGTTGATAATTTTATGAATTTAAATTTTAAAAATTACTTTATATGCTTTGTTATGTGCAGTTTACTTTCAAGTCTCAGAAATCCAGTGCATCACATGACAAGCAATGAACACCTGATGATGCCTAGAAGGATGTCTGGTGGGATATTGCATGCCAAAAGCCTAAGAACTCTTAAAGAGAAGAAAACTGTATATTATCCGTTTGCTTTTATTATTTATAATACAAAGCCCGTTGGTCATCAGGTATTAATATTTCCCTTGTCAACTGTGTGTATACCTGAACATTTTCTTTTCTTACTCTCGTTTTATTTATTACAGGATCTAGTTGGTCTGGTTATCTCTATACTACTCCTGGGAGATTTTATCTTAGTATTGCTCACCTTGCTTCAGATGTACTCGCTGTCACTGTTGAGCTTCTTCTTAGTTTTATTTGTCCTCCCTCTTGGTGTCCTATTTCCATTTCCATCTGGAATCAGTGCTTTGTTCAGTCAAGGACCTAGGAGATCAGCTGGGCTTGCTCGACTGTATGCTTTGTGGAATCTAATGTCCCTAGTCAATGTTGTAAGTTGGCTAAAGCTGTACTTGTTTTATCTAGTTTTTAATGTGATGCAATAGCTACGAGTGTGACCATTATTCGATTATTTAGTTTACCTGCGTACTTATAATATATTATATATGGTTCTCTGTTTTCATTGTATTTCAATTTCTTTTTCGAAGTGGTGTCGAATAAAGCTTCCAATTATTTGTTTTCATAACCTTAAACAGTAAAATGGGTCTCTTGAAAACAGGTAGTTGCCTTCTTTTGTGGATTTATACATTATACAGCTCACTCACATAACAAGCTTTCCAACTTTCGATCCTGGAATTTTAATATGTAAGTAGCTTTCACCATTCTACCACTACAATAACCGTCGCAGATAATGAAAACTGATGCAGGTTTATTTACTGTCACTATTTGACAATTGTTGTGTATAATCTTTGTGCTATGCTCTGGGGCAATGCAGGGATGAAAGTGAATGGTGGATGCTTCCTTCTGGTCTGGCCCTTTGCAAAATTATTCAAGCGCGTCTTGTTGATTGTCATGTGGCTAACCAGGAAATACAAGATCCCTCATTGTATAGCAGCGACACTAACGTCTTCTGGAATTCTTGAAAGTTTTACTCTCTCTTTCTATTTTCCATACCTTTTTTTATTATTATTATTAAAGTGTAAAGCTTAAATGGGCGGGGGAGCAGTCACGTTAAGTGGCAATGTGTAAATTGTATAATGTTAGGAGAAGTTTGTTAAAATGTGTCGTGTGGAATGGGTTGATTATATTGTTTGTTTGATCATCATCAGGTACTATAGTTTTATCTTAGGGCTTTAGCCCTTTTTGTAAAGGTTGGCCATTCTATCAATATATTTATCTAACTTATACTCACTAAAACTTCTTGCCCTCTTTATTATCTCATATGACATGATATGCCTAAGTTTTGGAAGTTGCCAAAGATGATATTGTAGATTAAAGTTCTAACTTTGCAAAGATGAACAATCCTTTGTTCAAAATATCCATACAACAACTGGAAGTTTGTTAGAAGTGAATCAAGTGATGAGAAATAAGGTGAAATTTGCTGCATCTTTGGTTTCTCAACGTGCGTCATTGTTAAGCAACAATAAATAATTTCTACTTCCTTCAGACTTAAATTTAACTATAAGTAACTAATTTTGCGCTAATAAAGTTAAGAATATTATTAATTTTACTAATTTCAATTAACAGTATTTTAAAAAAAAATTTCGTTGAAATTTGGTATTATGAATAAAAAAATCATTGAAAAAGTAAAAGCTGGCTGGATTTTATTAACAGGATAACATAATCATTGCGGGCGTAACATATAATGATTAGTGATGTGTTGTATGTTTATGCATTTAGAGATCGAAAAAGATAGATCCTCCGAAAAGAGTTCCGAAAATTATTCTGAATAAACAAAATATTAATTTAAATTACAAAATATTAAATTAAATAATTATTTTATAATAAATTTATTATAAAATATTAATATTTTAACATTTCGGATGTGATTGGGAAGCTGTTTTTGGGAAGCTGCTTTAGAGAAAGAAGAGTACAAGCTACATTTTTAAAAAAATTAAAAATGTTTGGAAACATCTTTCGAAATCTTAAAATAATAATTTAAACTATAAAATATTAAATTAAATAATTATTTTATAATAAATTTATAAAAAAATATAAATATTTTATAAATTCGGACGTTGATTCGATTGTTTTTTTGGCCGATGTAGCAATTCTCTTTTTTTAACAATAGTTATACGAACAATGATAAAGGTTCCGAAATTTTGTCCGAAAATAGTCCGAATTAATTATGATTGACATTTATAATTTTTTTATTATAAAATATAAATTTTAATTAAAAAGAAAAAATCTTTTTAATTAGTCGGAGTATGATTCGGAACATCCATTCATAGGATATATCGTTTTTCTAGTTATACATCCTCCGAAATTTTGAACAAAAAAGTAAAAAACTTTTTAATTAGTCAGAAGATCATTTGGAATGTAGCAATTTTTTTTTTGTTAATACACTTTTTAAAGCTTTCGGTCAGTTAATATATATATATATATGTGTGTGTGTTTCTTTTTTTATAAAGGATAAGTACAAATTTTAAAGAGAAATTTAACAACTTTACAAACATCACTTATGTTCTACGTTCTTATTCTTGTTGAACTTATTATCCAAATAGTTTCATCTGACTTTTGGATATGTTATTGTTTACTCTTTATCTAATAATTATTATACTTTAAATTTTTTACATATAAATTAAAGACAATAATAAATACATTACTTTTAATATTTTTTTTAAAAAAATAATTTATCTTTTTAATGAATATATTATTTTTAATTGTGATAGTTGAATAATTTATAATTAAATAAATTGAAAAATATATAGTTAATATTACATTGAAAATATTAATTATTTTAAAATATTTTTTAAATGTTAAAACTATAATCATAGAGGGTTAACTAAAACCAAGTAATTTTATAATGCACTCATTATTAAAAAAGAAGAACCTTGATTTATTTATTAGAATCACAGTTCAAGCTTATATTTACTATAGTCAAACTTAAAACTTGACTCCTTTATCAAGTACTTTTCAAATTCATCTTTGAATTATCCTTTATGGTTATTAATATAAAATTTAGTAGTAGGCATTGTTATGCTAAAAGATGAAATCAAAATATAGACAAAATATTTTAAATATTCATAAAAAATGACTCAAGACTAAAACATGAAAGATATAATGATGGAGATGGTAGAACTAGCTAGGTAATAAATGAGATATTTGCAAGCTATTAATGTTGAGCCTTGAACTTACTTAAATAGTCGTAATTAATTTCATGTTTGAAGCATTAGTTAAGTTGATTTGGAACAATCGGTGAATAATTCAATCCATTTTCGTCCTTTCTTCAGCTTTTGCTAAGAAAAAAAAAAACTCAGAGAAAGATACTTGACAAACACGATTGTCATTCTGTAGCACTGTATATGAAGAGCTAGCTGGAGTCTACTCCATACTAATTCAAACAAAAAAAATCCTCTTCAGCATGAGATGTTTCAAATAAATTTTGTCGGTACTAGAGGTATCTAATATTATGCAGCTGGACAGGTGAGAGGAAAACAATTTCATCCAACTTTCAGCTGCCAGAAGAAAGTAAGCAACTTCTGGATTCATCACTATGTTATTGCTAGGTTAAGACATAGCCGGACAAAGAAACAACCAGAAAATTTCTGTGGATTTAGCTCGATTAAATCCTTAATATAAAAATAAAACTATAGATTTCAATCCTAGTATCATAGGATTGACATGTAAGACCTCAAGTTGGATTTCTTATGCATTTACTGGAAGGAAAATCCTTTTAAGATCCAGTCCACAAAATTTAAGCGTGATATTAGATAATCAATAGTCAATTTCAATACAATCGAGGAAGAGGGTGAAAATGAAACGAATTAAAATCTTTGGTATTTTATTGATAAAGAAAATTGGAGATTAACTGCTGTAGTTTATTGACTAGTAATTGCAAAGAGAGGCAATAATAGTATGGAAATTACCAGGAATGCTTCTTTTATTTCTCTCAAGAAGTTTTATCCAACAGCTGAACTGGAGTCAGAATGTTTGCTTTGCTTGTCTCCACAATGCAACCATTCACCACCATTTCCTCCAACATAAAATGTACCTTTTCCAAATGAAACATGATATCTAGCTCACACTGCACATTTTAGTAAACAAGAAATGTAAAATCATGTTTTGCGGAAGCCAACATAAAACTCCACTGAAGAACTTACCACATTGCCAAAGTGTCGATCCATTGTTTCAACTAAAAGATGGATAAATTCCAAAATCGCGAGCTCGTTCTGCAAAATCATCCACACAATATAGAATAAAGTCAAGTAGAAGCAAGTTTTCAAATGATATCATATTTATTCACGAAAAAAAGTGATACATTTAAAACATTGTTGAAGTGCATATGTTTTCATTTTGGTCTAATAAACAAGTCACATTGTGAACTTTGGAGCTATCAGCACCAATAAGATAAAAGCCAAGACTATTTCACTATTACAAGTGTTTTGGGAACTAAAAAAACTCCTTATTTTTTACACGAAACAATAACATTAAAAATAACACCTAGAAAATTATATAAAATTTATTTAACGTGATTTAGACTTTTATATAAATGTTCATAAAGATGTTTATTATCTCAAAATATATATGTATGTTTCTGAAAATTTTTCCTTTAAATTTTATAGGTAAATCTTGAAAAATTTCACTCCCAAATTTTATGAATGAAATTTGAAAAGTCATTTTTCACAAATTTTATTGCGAAACTTGGAAACTCTCATTTATATAACTCTCCTTCTTATTTAAAATAATGACTTCTTCTATAACTCAATAATTTTTTCATATCAAGAATTTATATTTATTGACTTAATATCTTAATATTAAAAGAAGAAACAAATTTTTAAAATAAATATATTATATTTTGATTCTAAATAATATTTTAAAAGAAATAATATCTTTTAAAATCTAACCAATATTTTAGAGATTTAAATTTAAAATTTTGAATTATTTTTCAATACTACATACTTATTAATATTTTACATTATCTGCTTGTTTCAAATTATTCATTATCTTTGTACGAATCGATTGAGAATGAGTAATTGAAAAAGACAAATGATTTACCTCGCCATCATCAACTCCAACAAGGAAAAACAAAGAGGCATAGCGTCTATAAACAATTTTGTAGTTGCGATGCTCAACAAATGAACACTGTAAATAACCAAAACGCATCGTAAATCAATTATCGGTGAACAGCAAGATGAAGATGCCTCAACCAGTCAAATCAAAACCCCATATGTATTTAGATGAAAAAAAGCAAAAAACAAAGTTTCAATATAGAATTGGAAAATGAAACACAGCAATTCTTGTGTGATTACAGTACCTATCTATTGACACAACTATCTAAAAGTTTAAGATTACAGAAGTACTTTATCTTCTTTTCATTACTATATTAATCCGTATCTTGTTTTTGATGAATTATCCCCGTAGGCACAATGCTGATGCAAAAACTAATAATGTAAGGAACATATAGCAATATAATAATAACCCATAAACAAAATGTCTTCAAACTATTATACCAAAATTATACTCGAACAATATTGGAATGTAGCCAACTATAACCTAAAAGTAATATTCAAATAATTTTAACAAGAATTTGTCATATTGTTAAATTTTTTATCATTATACTCATGATTAGAAAGCACACCACGGCACGTTAGATATAATCTCAAAATCGTGAGTGAGAAACGATGATCTGAAATTAGAATTAATGGTAACAAATCAACCTACATATGGAAATTGAAAGAAGAAAAGGTTGAAAAGAGAGAAGCTAACCTTGTGTTCATTACGAGCGAGACATTTACGAACGATTTCGCCTTCAAGGGCTCGCCTTTCTTCGAGAGTTAGGTATTCGTAGTACTGTGCAAGACGTGTCTGACCTTGCTTGTTCACCATTAACACGAATCTGATCCCCATTTTATCGATCCTACATGCACTGCAATTTATGCCTCTGCATTCACTTTTTCTGTTATGCTTAAGATTCAATGTTAGATTAACTGTATTATTGTTACCTAACTAACATAATACTAATTTAGTTGTCATGCGAAACATTACTACACTTAAATCAGTTTATTAAACTCGATTTATATTGTCTACTGTATAACTTTAACCCTCTCTCATGAAATGAAATCTACTAGAACATTTATATATTTTTTTTTCTTTTGTTATCCAACAAGGACATTGAGAAACGAGAAACAGATCTGCAAAGTAGTTCGTTACACTCTATTTATTAATTCCTTTATTTTAATGATATGTAATAAATATATGACGTGATTTTATATGTAAAAAAATGTGATATTACAAAAGAAACTTAATTGTTAATGGATAATTAGGGGGAGCATAAAATCGAGACCAGAATCGAACCTGAAAAACCTGATAAAAATATTACTTTTTGGTGGGTTCGGGCGGGTTTTATGAGTAAATCGGGTTAAAATTTTGATTTTATATAGGTTATATTGGGCGGGTTCGGTTTTAAATTTTTAAACTCGCTAAAAACTGAACCCAATCGAAAATGAGATAAGTTTAGATTTTTATTACTTTTGTATAACTAACAACAATGGTTCAAACTCAAAAGTTTTATTTCAAGTATAATATAGCCATCAATTTGTAACTTTTTTTTTTCTTTTTCTCATAACCTAGATATTTCTTTTGTCTTCTCATTCCTCGTTCAATTTCTTAACACACTAGTCTATTTTTAGATTTTTCTTTTTGTTTCTTTCTTTATCTTTCTTTTCCATCTTCCTATCTCCATTTTGAGTACAACTTGTGCGACAATGATTTCTTATAGATTTTGTAATCTGACTTTAGATTTCTTTTGCATGTAACAACTATGGATTTTGTTATCTTTAATTTTTGCTTCTTTAGTTTGTAAATATTTCATTTACGAATCTACTTACATCATCTATTGTTACATTCATTCTATTTTTGTACACTGTTTTAAAAATATTTTTTTACCGTTTTAAGTTTCACCTTCGTTAAAATAATCTGGTCCACAAAAAATCTCAAACCCGATTGTACCCACCCGCCCAAATCCAAATCCGTTGCAACCCGAACCGTCTCAAACTGAAAGCTCAGTCAGTCGGATATGGGTCATATTTTTTCAAAGTCGATTTACAACGAGTTGAACATTTTTTACCCGAACCCGACCGAACCCGCCCCCGCCCGTTGCCCACCCCTACGGATAATGGATTTTCTTAATCAAAACCTTGGGTTCAAACTTTTTATATATGGTAAAAGCGTTTTCCATGAAACAGATCCTGGCCTAGATTAAAAAATGTTAACATTAAAAATAAAAAATAAATTTTAATTTTTTTCAACACGGTTATATTAAAAAGTTTTATAAAATTACTAAATTATTGGAGTCTAACTCTCATTAGTTACATGTTTTCTAGACTGTATCTAAATAAGCTTATGATCTCGGTAATGGTATACACGTTTTCTAAATTTTAGAAGTGCATACATGAACTGTGCATCATAGTTTTAAATACTCTGACGTAGAGTTTTGTACCGATAGTAAATGTGGTCTTCGAAAAAGAAAGAAAATAGTTATTTTTCTCTTTTCAACCAGTTTACCTAAGACTACCAGTTGATAGATGCAGTGCATGTTCAGCAGTTGAATGTTGAAGCCTTCAACGCGTATAGGAACCAGCTGTGAAAGTCACCTTGATGATGAGCCAAGACTCAATAAATTAAATTAAATATTTTCATCAGGTAGTCCACATTGGTGTCTTTCATATGCCTACCATCATTGAATAAGTTATATACTTGAAGCTGTACCATTTAGTGAGTCAAGGATATGAAATTGAAACTAAATTTTATTTATTGACAAATTTGAATTCTTTTGAATGGGACAAAACATATAAAAGAATGGGAGAATATCTTCCTCATGTAAGACTCAGCTTTCCACAGTCATCTTATTGACGTGGAAGGGCAAAAAAGATAAGTTCTTTTTTGTCTAGACAAAAGTTATCTTCCACTGGACCTATTCAAGCCGGGTAAGATAATCAAGAGAGATTACTGGTTAAACTGGAACAATTCCTTACTAATTGATCCAGGTGCTCGCCAGTGAAAAAAAATAAGTTAAATGTACTACTTATATACAAATCAAGATATGAGATAAAATGAATACAATAGCATGTACATAGAATGGTGAAAAATGTTGCTGACTTCCTTCTAAGCCAAATAGTTATTTGAGCAATGCTTTACTGCTGGCCCTCGTTATTTTCTTCTTCTTCTTCCCTCTTTTCTTCAATGAGAACCTTACTAATCATAAAGCTGGGCTGATTTGTTGAAGATAAAAGCCTAGCCCACATTCTATCAGTTATCACTACTTTGTTCTGGCCCTCAATGATTCTCTGCATAACAAAGCAACCAACATGATGCTGCTATAGTATCCTACTCAAAATTACAAGTTAATTCACCTGATCATAACTTGAAATTTAACTTTGAATTGAAAAGTTTAAGTTCACTAAGTTTTAACGAAATAAATCACATCTATGCTACAGAAGCAAGACCAACAAGAAGCATGGCCAATGAACTCACATAGAAGGGTATGTACGCGTGTCTTCCATTGACAAGCCCACTTGTAAAACCAGTGTAACCTGCCATTGCTCCATGAACAGCACTTTGAGCAAGAAGTGTGCAGTACACGTTATCAGAAGCATTGCTTGGAACAGCTCGGATCATATATGTTGGATCTGTTAAATAATAACAAAAAACAAAGGGCAATACTTAATATTTCATCCTTTTAGCATGCACACTAATACACGTACATGTAATTATACAGTTTTTATCTTTACAAACCTATATATTTGAGATTTATGGTCATTGTCTTCTGTTTGGCAAAATGTTCCTGCAAGATCAAAGATTCAAAAATGCTTAACATAATCGGTAGAAAATATCTTCATCAACAATCTCTTCAATTATTAAATCGTTGTCTGTGGAAAATAAAACATATTTTGTCACACTATAGTTTGTGAGCACTTCTAATATATTATTCAGTATGAAAAACCTGCTGACATTCATCAGCAACCATGTGTAATGTGTCCACCACAAGATCCTTCAAGACTGCTACAGTTTTTGAGATTCTCATAAACCAAGTGCAAATGGGAATGTTTCGTTAGAACAGCTTTTTGCAAGGTTTCATAAATAAAAAAATCATCAATTGAAAACCAAAAACAATGGACAACATTATAAAATCCATCAAATGGACAATGAACATTCTTTCAAACACGAAAACTAATGGGGCAGGGATTAAAGGTTATAGACTACGCAGGTGGACATGGCTGTATGGAAGCAAACAAGCCAAACCTCAATCCGAATTCAAGAAAGAAATCAAGAGGATAACGCAGTCAAAAATCACATTGAGATATCCAGCACAGACAGAATAAATAACAATCCACACCTTTATCTTTTGAGATATCCATAGCCCAACATCTTGAAGAAGTTTGTTTCCGGAAGCATCCTGCTTGTGCATGGATTGGATGCTCTCAGAAACAAGTTCCTGTCCTGCCCCTTCAGCAATCACAATAACCATGTGGCCGTTTTCTTTCAGTCTTTTCTCTGCAAACTCAAAAAGTCCACCTGGACCTTCAAGGTAAAACGGTGACTCTGGAATTAAGCAACAGTCCACATCCCTGCTGGCCAGAGTAGCATACATTGCAATGAACCCTGCACCATGCATCCAGAAAACAAGCTTATATGAAAGGAGCTAGGCTTGATAATTACATCAAGAAAAAGAATTTAACATAATAGTTTTTATTTTCTTCGCCAAGTCTATTTGGCTATAGTATCCTGTGCCATTGAAGTACAGGATGCTAATGATTTATCTGATCAGTGGAGGCATCATAGGCATTCAAGAAACTTACCACTGTACCGGCCCATCAACTTAACAACACCTATGCCATTTTCACCACTTTCAGCCTCAACATGTGCTGCATTTATAGCACGTTGAGCCTCCTCAACAGCTGTGTCAAAGCCGAAGGACTTATCAATAACCTATTAAAACAGAGACAACATAAAACCATTTTACAAATTAATGACGACGCTAATCTAATATATTCTGAGCAATAACTGGAAGAGCTTCTAACAATGAGGGGGGGGGGGGGGGGGGGGG